TCAGCTCTCCTTTTTTTAGATTCAGTTATTTCTCGCGTATATTTATCACCTTTACATAAAAGTTCATTAAAATATAAACAATTTGCATTTTTTTTAATAACATATTCCAACTCTGTTTTTCGCAAAAAACCAAAATATTCATACAACAAAACCCAGTTGTGATGTTCTAACATTTGTAATCTTTTATGTTTATGCAACAAAGCAGCAACATTAAATTTAATTAAAGATTGACGATCTAACATTGAAACAGTTTGCTTTATTGTCATATATTTTGAAGCGTGACATAAAATAAAAATAACTGCATATAATTCTTGCTGTTTATAAGCAAATGTTTTTTTTAATTTACCATTTTTACTTCTTCTTGTTGCCACACGTATAAAAAAATGTTTAAATCTATCACTTACTAACTTGTTTTCTTCATATTTATGAGGATTTTCCATTTTCTCTAAAACGTTTATAATTTTAATATGAACTTCTTCACATAATTCAATCAATTCTTCTTTAATAATATCAAGATCTGTTTTGTGTAACATTTTTATTAAGTCTAAAAACAATATATACATTTATAAAATGTAAAATAATTTGTACTCTCTAATATTGAAATGTCATTATTTGTTGCTGTTAATAAATGTTCCAAAGTAGTATCGTTCAACTCGTCAACATTAAATATTTATATATTTAAAACATTAAATCTTTATATATTTAAAAAATATTAAATATTCTTTATGTTTTTGCCAATAACTTTGAAAATGACCACCAACATTATAACGAAAAAATGTATCCCATAATCTAGCTGTTTTTCCTAATAAGTTTATTTTATCTAAACATTCACGACATTCAAATAATTGATAATTTATTGCCTCTTCTACATATTCATTTTTTTCATATTGATATTCGTCAAAAAAATATTTTAATTCTGTCATTAATATATCTATATCTATTTGATTAAGCATCTAAATTACAAAACATTTTAATCATAAAAAAATTTTATATAAAGTATACATAAAAAATATTTTTTAATTATATATTTTTATCATTTAATTTAAAAAACGTATATTTGTATATTTTATCATTTATTTTAAAAAATTACATAATATTAAAATATACATAAAAATTATAAAGTTATAATTCTTCACATAATTAAATCAACTCTTCTTTAATAATAACAAGTTTTATTTTTAGTCACAAAAGGCATAAAGACTACAATTTTTATCTGCAGTTGTAACGCCTATCCCGCTTTTTTCATAATAGCGATATCGTTCCATATATTGTCTTGTTTCCCCTCTATAACTCAAAACTGGAACAAAAAGTTGACGATGTTGACGACGACATATTTCTTCATCCATTTTGAACCTTTTTTTTTGCTAATTCTTCAAACTAAAATATATACTTATAAATTCTTATATATTATATAAATTCTCATATATTATATAAAAATCAAATTTACCTCTTTAAATTTAAATCCAGTCATATTGCCGCCTGCATCTTTTATTTTATAATCTTCAATATAATAACTCAAAGAATCTTCTTCGTTTGCTTCTTTTTTTTCTTCTATTTTTTCTTTGATATTCATTTGTTTTATTTCTTCAACTATTTCTTTGTTATTCATTTTTTTATTAATTCTTTTAAACAAAATATATATCAGTCAGTGTTAGTTTAAAAAGTATTTTTAAACTAACATTAACTGATATATTTTTTTTATTTAATTTTAAAAATAAAATTCCATAGATTATTTATACATTAGTTTGAAAAAACTTTTAACTGATTTTTTGTTTAATCTTAAAAATAAAATTCTATATATTTATACAATATTTAAATATTTTTGCTGTTTATTAACAGTTTTTCTTTTATTTTGAAATTTCGTCGACTTCTTTTATAACGTTTGTAAACAATTTTTCACCATTTAATAAAACGTCATAATAATCTTCTCTATTTAATAAATTCATTTTTATTTAATAAATTCATGTTATTTATCTAAAAAAAATTAATAAAATATATTTATAAATAAAACTAAAAAAATGTATTTAATGAATTCATTTAATAAATTAATTTAAAAAAATAATTAAAAACATTATAAAATATATTTCTTTATAAAATTTTTTTACATTTAATAAATTTACTAAAAAAACATTTAATAAAAATATTTATTTGCTGTAATATTTATTATCAAAATCAATAAATAATAAACATTTGTTATTAAAATAAGTTATAATACATTGTTTTTTTGCAATAAAAGACATATTTTTAATGTCTTTTTTAAATTCGGCATAATCGTCATAAAGTAAATGAAAAGCTTTACTAAATACTTCATAAGGTATGTCTAAAAGGCCATACTTTCCAAGACAATAATCGCAATACATCTGCTCAATATAATCTAATATTTCAGTTGCAAGTTTGTCAATTCCATAATTTCTTTCATAAGATAGTTTGCTGTAAGCGTCCAACACTTTTTTTTCCTTTTCGCCACAGTGATAATTATAATAATCAACATCAATATAATCCATTTCCATTTTTCTTTTATTTTTTTCTAATTGTTTTTTATAAAAATATATATTATAATTTAAAAAAACATTTATCACGATAAGTATAAACATGTTCTAATTTAATAGGTTCTCTTCCTCTATAATAATTAATAATATTTTCTAAACGTTTTATTAAAATTATAATATTTTTATTTTTATAATCACATTTCCAACGAATATAATAAAATTCATCAAAACATAAAACATAAAAAAACTTTCTTCTTATACTAGACAATAAAAAACATATTACATATAATTCTTTATTATTAAAATTTAAACAATAATCGTCTATAACATTAAGAACATGTTTAATCCTTTTAATAATTCTTGTATTTAAACTGATTAATATATTTTCAAGTTCAGTTATTATGCTATTAAATTTGTTAATATCTCCCCCAACCTCCATACTGCCTTTATTTGTAAAAAAAACGTCAAATATAATTTCGCTTTACGTGAACACTTTGTATTAATTATAAACAGCTGCAACACCCAAAGACGTCCTACATTTATTCCATCATTTAAAACCCCTTTAATTATTTCTTTCTAAAATAAAAAAAACATAAAAAACATTAAACATTTAAAAAAAAAAATGTTTAACAATAATTAAAATATACTTACAGCGGAATTAGTAGAAGAATATGCCCTCGCCACATTTACAATATAATTTTTATTATCATTATTCATCTAAAATATTATCAAAAAACATTTATAAAAATAAAAAAAATGCTATATAAAACATTTAACTACAAAATATTACTAAATATTAAATAATACAACATTTATTTCGTTTATCATAAGATACATTTAAACATTTAAAATCGTTCAATTCACAAAAATCATAATGTGTTCCATCTAGCATATTATTAATTTGTCGATTACATTTTGGACAAATAGCAATATTATTTTTACATTTTAATATATGTTCGCCTAATTCGCGTAATGTTATAGGTTCAATACTCAATTGAGGAGTGCAATTTAACGGGCATAAAACCATTAAATTATCCATTTTTTCACGAAATTGAATATCAGGATATGTCAAAAAACACCCACACAAATCTTCTGCGCACGCATCACAAACCATAAAAGGTTGTTTTATAACTTTTCCGTTGTGTATAAAATAATCACATATCGTCACCTTTGATACTACATAATAAGCATTATAAGGTAACCCCTTAAAACAATAACAAAAATCTGGAATTAAATCTATCATTTTACACCATAACGATAATCCATTAGTGCTAGCTAACGGCATTCCATATTGAAATTCAAATTTTTCTCTCACATTTGTTATTAAACCGTCCATATATTCTTGTTTTATAATGCCATTTGTAGCCGAATAACAAAAATTCTTTTTAAAAACAAAACGAGCAGCATTTACTTCTGTGCATGTCCCATTTTCATTAGTCCATTGTCTAATCCACGCATTATTCATTTTTTTATATTTCACTATTCTAAAAATAAAAAAATTATTAATTATTTTTTTATATATAAAATGTTTGTAAATATTTTATAAATTTAAAATAAAAAAACAAAACGTTTTTTTTTAATTTCTTTTTTATATTATTTTTTAAAATTTAAATAAAATAAACATTTTTTACACGATATATATACTGCCATTAAAATATCAAAATAAATATTATCAGTTGTTTGCCTACTTTCACGTTTTATAATGAATAAAAGTTTGTTTATTAATCTTATAAAATAACGACGAAACAAACAATAATATGGTCCAGTTAAATGTCTATATTTTTCTAACAATTGTGTTGCAAACTTCATGCGCATTAAAATATCGCCAAGTTATTTCTGAAAATCATCTATTCGATTTTCAACTTTTGATAAATTATGTAATATTTCTTTATGTATAGAATTTGTCATCATCGGTATCAAAACATGCACTTTTAAATCCATCTAAAAAATTATTTATAAAAAAACATCATTTTTTTAATTTATTATTTCTTAATTTTTAAAAAAACATGTTTTTTTAATATACCTTTTTTCTTTTTCTTTAAATCTTTTTTCTTTTTCTTGTTGTAAAACACATTTTATTTAAAATTAATTTTTACCTTTTATACTTTTTTTAAATCTATTTTTATATATCAAACATTACCATATATAGCTTTATAAAAAAAACGCATCCTTATATAGTTATAACAAAAGTTACATACCTTTATATAGATATAAAATATTAAAACAGTCGCATGATTTTTTTTTTAAAACAAATTTTATAAAGTTACATACCCATATATAGGTATATAACATTAAAACTATTTTTTTTTCTTAAAGCAAGGTTTTTTTTAATAATCCAAATGTAAATAATATTATATTTCATTTTTTAAAGTTACATACCTATATATAGGTATATAACATCAAATCTTTTTTACAGTAAAATTTTTTTAATAATCCAAATGTAAATAATATTATATTTCACGCTGTATAAATAAAAAATTCATTTATGATTTTTTACAACATGCAAACAACTATTACAGTTATTGTAGCAAAATCAATTTTAAAAACAATAATGGATATAGTTAAAGAAAAAGAAATGCTAGGAAAATTAATATACGCTTCAGCTGAATTGTCAGTTGTATTAGGCTCGCCTAATACACGACTTGTCAAAAGAAAAGAAGCAACACTTTTAGAGCACATAAACGAATTATATCATTTTATAAAAACTAGTACGTATTATTTTTTATAACTATTTTTTTATAAATTTTATATCTTTATTTATATTTTTATTTATTTCTAGATAAAGATCAAAATCTTATTCCGATTGATCTTACCCATAATTATTCAAGTATAAGTATATATCATAATTATTCGCTATTTTTTGCTATTTTTTTCTAAATTAAACATTTATTTTTATAAATGTATATTTTTTTATAGATCGCGTTTTAACTCACAAATATAACAGAAGACAAAAAAATATAAATGACAGCGATATCCCTATTAGCCCTTTAATTAATGAAAGCATTAATATTAAAAAACCAAAAAAAACTAAATATTAACATACCAAAAAAATCCGAATCAAAAGAAGAAAACATTGAAAAACAAAATTCAGGTATTTCATTTGTTTTCAATTTATTTATATTTCAATTTCAATTTATAAAAAAATAAAAAAAAATTGTTTTATTTAGATATGCCTGACTTTTTTAACATGACTTCTCATCACGAGGCAAATAAAACAGAATTTCAAGCCTATTTTAAACCTAATCAAGTAGCCAATGAAGCAGAATTTCGACCTGATTTAAATGAGGACTCGTTAGAGTTTCCTTTTGAATCAAATAATGCAAATCAAATCAGCGTAATTTGTAACAATTCAAATAACACAGACAAAAGTTCTAATTTTAACCGCGACTCGTCAGGTATAAATAAATAAAAATTATTTTTTTGTTTAAAAAAAATTTATTAATTATATGTTACTAATTTATTTTTTTTAGATGTTGATTTTTTCAAAATGGAAAATATATACGGACTTAACACGCCCATTATCGAAACAAATAATCAAAGTTTTAATAACCCTGACACTCCATTAGGTATATTTTAACAAAATATATTTCATTTCTTTCTTTTATTAAGTATATTTTTTTATTATTTTTTCATTTTTTTTAGAAGTTAACGTTTCAAAATCAGAAGATAAATTTTATTTTGATACGAACGCCCAAGACGACTTGATATTTTGTTTTGAAAATTAGTTGTAAAAATATATTTTTTAAAAATTAAATAATTTTACCTTATAATAATCCTTTGTTGTACAATTGTTTTTCACTTTCAGTTAAAAAGGCTCGATTAATTGTTTTATTAGTTATACTTGGTTGTTGTGTAGCTTTATTTGTTGTTAACGTATTTGTTAAACTCCCTTTTTTACGTAATTTTATAAAATTTACAATTGTACCACCTAATTTTGATATTGCATCAGCATTTTTAACAGCAAACGTGCCTAAAGCTTTAGCATTATCCACTGTAACTAAACTTTCTAATCCGCGTCCTCTTTTTTTACGATAACGTTTTTTATAAGAACTTCTTCTTTTTGTTCTTTTTACACGTTTCATTTTTTTTAATATTTACTTGTTTTAAAAAATATATTGTTTTTTCATTCTTATTGTTTCCTAATAAAACATTTATTTTACAGTCTATTACAATATTATTTTTTTTTTTTAGATAATTAATTATGAATACAAACATATTGAATACAAACGATATTATATTATATATTGAAGAAAAACAAAAAACATTACGTGAACTAATAGCAAAAGTAAATATGATGGGGGAATTAATAATTGAAAAAGACTTGGAATTACAATTTTTAGAAAATGAACTAAAAGAAAAAGAAGAAGATTTAATTAAAAAAGAAAAAGATATACTCGAAAAAGAAGAAGAATTAGATGATAGAGAAGAAAAAACTAAACGAAAAAGAAGAATTTTTAACACAACTATCTTTTGAACTTAACTTACGCATAGGCAACAATATAAATATATGTACACATTACTTTTAAACTATTTTTTGAACATAATTAACATTAGAATCAGCATTTTGGCAATCATTCAGTCTTTGATTTTATGTGCTTATTATAACTAGCTGTTTGTTCATTGCTTTGTTTACTTCCATTTTTAAGTAATTATTTTTTATCTTTAGCTCGATTTATAAAAAATATTTATAACAATTCGCTTTTTTGCTTTCGTATATAAAAAATGTTATTACTTTATTATATATTTCTCTAAACTTTATATTCTTCTAATTTTACGGCAATATTTTACAGACACTTTCTTGTTGAATCATAATAAAATATTAGACGAATTGTGTTAATAAAATAAAAATCATTTTTGAAATATTATTTTTATTAACATGTAAATAAATAAAATCTACTTTCTTCAATCAATTTTCTTTGTATACTATTTTCAAATCATTACATTTAATCAATGTTTAGGTTTTTGATTTTTGTTTATATGATTTCTATCTTTTTCGTTAAATGAAAAACTTTTTCATTTTAGTTGAAATAACATTTTTTTATTTTTGTAATTTTTTAATTTGTATCGCTTTTATGCTTTTTCGTATAGTTTCTTATTATATATTTCTCTAAACTTATTATAGTTATTTCTAATCTTTTTTAAAATTTAAATATTGTTTACAATCTTCTATTTTTTACAGCAATTTTATACAAACACTTTCTTGTTGAATGATAATTTATTTTTATTAGGAAATGTTTTTGAAATATTATTTTATTTTTATTAACATGTAATCGAATAAAAGCTACACAAATTTCTTTTCTACACAAATTTCTTTCAAAATGTTTTTTTTTTATTTTTTTTATAAAAAAAACTTGCTATCGAGCAATTTTGTTGAAGCATTAATAATGATTTATTAATGCCCGCCAACATTTGCTCGAAATTCAAGTTTTACTTTTTTTAATTTGTAACTATGAATGTTATTACTTTTTTTTAATTTGTAACAATTCGATTATATGCTTTCGTATATAAAAAAGGTTATTACTTTATTATATATTATCACTTTTTCTATTTTAAACGAAATGGCATATTTATATTTTATTGTTTTATCTTTGTTGTAGGAATTAGATAAACAGTTTAAACTTTATCATATTTTATCACATTTTCTATTTCAGTTTAAATGGCAAATTATATTTTTATATTGCTTTTTTGTAAATTATTTTCATAAATAAAAATATATTAACCTTTTCATTGTTTTTTTATTTTATTTTTTGCAATTTCTTGTTAGACACCTTCAAACAAACGGATAAAAAATGTTACAATGACTTGTATTTTTTTATCTGTGTGTTTGAAGTCAAAATATTTAACAAGTAATATTATTTATATAAATTTTATTCTTTTAGAAAAAAATGAATAAACTAAAACAATGGCAAACAACAATGAAAAAAAAGAACAAACAGAAAAAAGAAAAATTCAACTACGAAAATCAATATATAAACCCTAATAGTGTTTTTAACACAGACATTATAAATGAAAAAAATGACTATAACAATTATGATATAAATAATTGCGATTGGGAATCAGAAGACGAGTTTGAGTTTCGAGCAATATACAAACAATAACGTTTTTAATCAATATATTTTATTTTTATTAAAATCTTTTCTACTTCTTTTTTCCACTTGTTAATTTCCAAGAATCGAATGTTCAAACAGTTGACGTCATTTAACTTCTTTTTGATTAGATGCACTCTTTTAAAATATATATAAATATTTTGTAATATTTTTTGCAATATATTTTTTTGCAATATACTTTTTATCGCCCTCCTCGCGCGTGCCCTCCTACTTTAAAACACTACGATGCCCCTCTTATTTTAAAACACTAGGATCCCCTCATTTTTCATATAAAGAACCTTTCTTCTTATTTTTATCATTTTTTATTATTTAGTAAATAAAGTATGTGACACTAATGGTCATCAAACCGTTACACAATTCAAATAAATCTTGATTGAACGGGCACACGGTTGGACGGGCACAACAATGATTGTGCTCACTTTCTTCGTCACACAGACAGCATCCTATACATACTTCACGTCTTGAAAAATATCGTTCATTCTGTCGTTGTTTAAATGTTGACCGATTCGTATCATTATTCGATCGAGTTATGCGAACTTGTTCTAAAAAAATTACTTTAAACTTATATTTTTTTCCAAAAAAATTATAATAAAAAATTTCTTTAATTTACCATTGTCTATTTCTGAAATATCGTCAAAGATTTCTTATTCGTTTTCATACAATTTTTCATCTGCTTCCTCAAGTGGTCTTGTTTCAACCACTTGAGGTACATAAACTTGAGGAGCTTTATACACGTTTTCAGGTACATAGGGTTTAACAATCTAGAAAAAAAGCACAACACTTTAAAAAAATACAAAACATTTTTTTTAAAAAAAGAAAACAATAAATTACAGCTACAGGTTTGACAAATCATTGTCGTTTTGACTTTTATTTTTTTACTTTTCCTTAATTTTTTATACTTTAACCTTTTTTTATATTGTAAAAGATAATTAATATGATTTGACAGCTTTTTATATATTTTTTATAACGAATAAAATTAAAAAACATTTGCTTTTTCATATATTTTTTTATAATGCTAGATTAACTTTAAACAAAAAAAATATTAATCTTTTTTTAAAAAAAGATTATCGGACGTTATAACGTTATATGACGTCATAACAATATATGACGTTAGTTATGACGGATGGGAACGGGTTGGGATGGTCGTGACTCAATTTTCCTATATGGGTAGATTATCATGTATATATATTTTTAAAATGTAATGAATTTTTAAAATGTAAATTGTCAAATGTAATATTAAAAAAGTAATGTTTATTATTATCCTACCGATTTTTTTGCAATGCTATTGTCTAACATGTAAATTAATATACGGTTGTTGATAAAAAATTTTTTTTCTTACAGATGAGAACAGTAAAAATAATAGATTCTTAAGGATGGTCATTGTATGCTACCAAAACAATGAACAGTATATATATGATGATGGAATAATAATTTTTCATTTTCATCAAAAAACGTATGCATTAAATCGTTAATTTGTTTTTGTAAATTTGGTATAACAGTGATCAAAAGTTTTTCGTAAGCTAATTTTCTTTTACACAAACCTTGTAAAGACCATGTTTCAACATTTGTAACAAGATTGAAAACAAGACTATAGTTGTAGTTCCATTCTTTCGACTTGTTTTCCTTCATTGAATAAAGTTCGTGTAATTCATTAAGCATTTTATTTACTTTTTCTTTTTTCATTGCTTAAAAAAATATTCATATAAAAAGACAATAAAATTATACAAATTAAAAGATAATGTAAAGTTTAAAAGAATTTATTTTTATTATAATAGTTCAAATATTCTTTTTGTTTAAACTAATAACAGGCGGATAATACGACGGAGTATTACATTCTACGTTTTCTGTCAAAAATGATACTTTAAAGTTTGGATACTGATCTGATACTTTAAAGTTTGGATATCTGTCTCGATTTTCCAGTTCTGTATACGGTGGTGGATTTACACTTTCTTTGTATGATGGAGGTTTTTCAAATTTAACTATAAACTTTTTATAAATATCCTTTCTACCGATTTCATTTAATAAATTTAAAATAAGTTTGACTTTAGCGTCGTTAGTCTTGTATTCAAAGTGTTGATATACAAAATCTTTGCACTGAATGTACTCCATTAAATCTATTCCGTCTTTAATTTTCTCTCTTATTCCGTAAGGAATTTCTAAAAACATTTTTAACTTTTTTACATCAGACGTAGTGATGTAGTCAGCTAAATCTCTCATGATTGCATTTCCAAGCTGATGTTGTTCAAAACTTTTTCAAATGTGTTTTTATTTACAAACTCTTTCATTTCCAAGCCCACGTTGTCCATTCGTTTAGTTAAAGCGTTTATTTGTTTGTTGACAGCTTCTAAACTGTTTAGAATGTTATAAGTAATAATGTTTAAAAAAGTTAAATTTTGTTTTTGATCCATAATAACATTTTTTTGTTTTTCCATTACTTTTTTCCATTCATTTTCAAAACGTTGTAAACATTATATGACGTGTTGATCATAGTAGTTATTTTGAATTTGATATCCGCTAAATACACATAATTTAGTTCGATTTCTTTCTACGTGTTCCTCGTAATAAATTTCTTATTCATGTTCCCAAGTATCTGACAATTTAATTTTTTTCCACAGCTATAACAATCATAATCTTGTGATGTGTTACAATTTAGTTGATGATTAAGTAGTTGATAAATAGGATAGGGTAATTTGCAATAATAACATAATTCTTTATCCATAGCTTCAGCCATTTTTTTATAAATAGTTGCTAAAAAATGTATTAAATTAATATAATTGATTTTTTTAAAAAATATTATGGGTAAAATTATAGACAAATAAGGATAACCTGTTTTAAAAAAACAATGTGAAAAAAAATATTTATTATTAAAAGCAAAAAAAATACAAATTATTATAAATTTACAAAAAATCTTTAATGTATATAATCGAA